TGCCCATGTATAGTCGCACTGACTGACCGCCACGGGGTGTTTATGACAGCAGGATCAAGGACTTGTCCTTTAGCTTACTTATAGTAAAATAAATTCAAAATGTATTGAAATAAAACAGTAGAAACCCACTGACAATGCTGAGTTGCAATTCTACCCTTTTAGCAGGCTCTCAGATGCTAGGCTGAAAACTATGACTAAAAACCCAGGTCAGGGCCAGAGTGATGCCCCAAGTGGTTCACATCACCACTAAGTAAACACACGGATGGGGATTTGGGTCTTGCATAGCCCACTGCAGCTGGACTGCAGCAGTTGAAGCAAAACTTGCTGAAGTCACTGGACATCTCACCAACAATCTCACTTTCAGTAGGCACTGGACCAAGTCCTGAACTTATGCAGTATGGTCTGCAATTTGCTTTGCTTTCTTCCTTGATTGAAGCCATTTTTATTACTTTAAGTACGTGTGTATTTATGACTTTTATATAAACGTGTTACACTTCTGTTAGGGGTTCTGAAGAACAGGAGAGACTACAACTACCAGAAGTATCACTGCACTGGTATGCTCCATCTGGCACTGCGTACAAAGGCTGCTGATTCATGGTCACAATAATTGGCATCTTAAGCTCTTTGTTGTCTGAATACCACCTGAATATCAATCCCTGAGATACTATTGCTCTCAACTAAAACGTTGACCCAGGTTTTTACTTTTAGGAGAGAAGACTGAAATACACCCAGGGCTTGAAGTTCCCAGGTTGTTAGACCACGGATGTTCCTCTGAACAAATCCACAGACCCACACTTGTACTCAGGGAGCCACTGTGTAATTGACTGCTGCAGGAGGGACCCCTTTGCGCAACCCCTATCCCCCCAACCACCCACCCTGGGTGCCTGGCACTGTGCAGCCCACCCTCCTCTCACTTTGCTTTTCTTCCTCTTGGGAAAGAATGAGCATTCAGCCTGGGAATACTTTCTCCTGGGATATGGAAGAGGTCTTCTCCATCCTCATCTCTCCTGCAACTCGTGTACCAGTGATTTATTCCTGCTACCTGGTTTGGCTCATTTGAGTGATTCCTTTTGTGTGCTTTGGCCATTAACCTGTAAGTAAAAGCTTATATTAGTTTACTGCGAGATTCTGGTGAGAGGTCTATTTTGGAGCCAGCTGCTATTAATTTGGTGTTATCAGTGAGCCCAGACATAATTCGTGACTCCAAGTTACAGAAGGTCTGCAAGCGTAAGGGGTTTCCTTCTCATCACAGGCACAATTTAAAGAGGCTGCAGACCCAAGCTTTTTTTCTTCCACTTTTTTTTTCAACTGGTTAGTTGAGAATATTTTCCTTAAAGTGTTCACTACACAGAAGTAGTGTTCAGGAAGAGCTAAACTGCGTTTGCAGCTGCCTAAGTGTAAATCCATACCAACATTTCTGGTTTTATTTCAATACAATGGATTAATGTATCAAAACACAATACACAGACTTTGACCCAGGCAGACTGACCTTATCACCAGTGTAACTTGTCTGACTTTAGTAGTGAATCCCATAACAGCATTTTCAGCATCTGTGGTGGTTGTCACAGGTCCCATAATGACTGGTAATTTATATAAAGTTTGAATTCCCCATGGCGTGTGTGAATGTAAGAGAATTACAGCTTTATTTAAAATCATTACGAAAAAAGGGATCTGGTAGGAGATGGAAAAATTTGAAAGTGTGACCCCAAGGCTCAAACCAGGGGAAATAAATAGGACCCAACTAGCTGTGTTTATATCCTGTGCCTCATAGGTTGGAACGAGTAATGTTGAGGTGTTGACTGGGGTTGACATTAGGGTTGACTGGCTCATTGTTTCAATACATGTGAGTGGGTTAAATGTGATGTCTAAATATCATGCATTTATCTTTTAGGAAAAACAAAGTAAGAAAAACAGTGTATGTTGGTTTTGGTCTCATAATCAGTTTCCTTACTGCCACTTACCCCATTTGACTCCAGAGGAAAACCTCAGAGGAAAAGCCTGATGGTATAGTAGGGCCATAGGACCTGTGTAAACGCATGTGAGATGTGTAATCTTCTGAAGCAAATGGCAGTGTGGCAGCCAATTTCCAATGTGACAGTAAATGTACCCTAATTGACCACTGTCCCTTGCGTCCCTGATCTTGCTGCCCCTTCCCTACGTGTATGCTTGCCTGCAGCCTAGTCACCCACCAAGATGCCCACTGAATTCAGTGCCCAGTTTCCCCTGCATGCTATGGGTACCCCTGCACTGTGCTTTGAGGAGGTTGCTTGGGCTGGTTTCTGCACTGAAGCTGCTTCTCAGGCAGTAAGGAAGGTGGGGTAGTGGTCACATCGGGAGCAGGTGCTGGGAATGGTGCTGAGGCACCTGTGAGGGCTTTGGGAGAATGGGGTAGGAGCGGGTGAGACTCTTGCTCCACTAAGGTCAGTGTTGACAGCCAGCATTGCCATCCAGCATGCACAGGTGTGTTTTTTTCTCTCTTACGCAATTAGAGAAAACTGTGTATGAAACACAGTAGCTTGGTTGCAACCCCATTTTCTGCCTGTGTTAAACTCGGGCTGCAAGTTCTTGCCTAGTTGTGGTGCTGCTGCTTATTGATAAAGTTTATGGGGCTTTTAAGTCATTAACTCTGTGCCTCAAATTAGCAGGAGATACGTGAAGGAGGGGAAGGAGGGTTCCTTCCCCTGGGTTCAGATAAAGGGAGTCAGACACAGTGGCTCTGTTCAAAGCAGAGCAAAGCCTCCACTGACCTCATGGAGTCCAAGATTTCTGCTCCAGCTTCAGCTCCGCATGCTGGACCACATACACCCCCTCTTGCATTATTTGAGAGATCTAACATACACAGGACTGAGAGTCTAAATAGCACAATGGTGGGCTTCTACCAATGCTTCTCACCTAAATGCAGTTGACTCATTTTGCCTTTTCTACTCTTAACCAGTCTTCTTAACCTGCTTCTTAGCCAGGGCAAAATTAAGCATGAGGAAAAAGGCTTATTCAGCATTATAGTTATCTACTCCCAAGCTGTATAACAAAATGGTTTACACATTTAATTGGTTTTGTCTAATATTTTCACGTATACAGTAGTCCTATTAATGAATATCATAGCTTCATTACTGCATATCACATTTTGCTATTTGTTGTGCACTATAAAATAACGTCAGCACATCAATAACTTAAATAACACAAATGTAAACTTATTTTCTGCTTGTTAGAATTATGAATTTAGCCTGCAAAGGCTTTTTGATTTGTAAGACCATTCACATAACATGGAATGTAACTTTATTTGTTTATCTTTTGTATATAATGAGACATCGAAAGCCCTTGTCATCTTTTAACAGGATACTAAAGCAGCTCTGTTTCATGAATGACAGCACAATTAAAGCTAAAAATCATAATTTAAAAAAAACCCTTTGTACTGTACAATCTCAAATTAAAGCAAGAAAGATAATGACAATCTTTTGCATTAGCCAGGAGATGTGATTCTCTGCCACTGGGCTTTTTTTCTTGTTAACAATTCACAGAATGTGTATATGGGTGTAGTTATAGGTGTGTGCATATCCTACGCAGAACAGCAGGCCCTATTTTGTTGATCTAGTTCTTCTAATTGTTTAGTTAAACTACCTAACTGATACAATTTAGAATACTACATTAACACATTTAACATCAAGTTTACATACTTGCGTCTTTGAAATACTAGGAACTTTTACACATTTTATTTGGCTTTGTAAGGACTGGAATATCACAGATAATGCAATCTACTTGTCTTTGAAAGAATATGGCTGTTCTCAACTAACTCTCTAAGGTTCAGAGTGAAATACGTTTCTCCTTATATCTGTAGCTGACTTCAAAGAAGAAAGTGTCTTCTTAAGTGGTCAGTCTGATGTTACAGTACAGATTCTGCAGAGAGAGAGATGTATATTTAATGAAGGATCATTCTCTCTGGACTTTAGAGTTAAGCTGTTGCAGCAAAATTACTTTGTTTAGACTAATTTTTCTATACAAATCTCACGAAAAACCTATTCCAAGTATGTTTTGTAGTAGTATCTCCACATGACCAGAGGAGGGCACTTTGAACATCTTTGCACTGCCCAGGAGGCAGATGCAGAAGCACAGTGTTACCCAATGTCGCGCAGTCCTGTCGCCTTTTCCCACTCAGGCAGGCATCCCTGTGTCCACAAAAACACAGACTCTGTACTGTACCACAGGGCTCTGTTCTGAAAACAGTGGGCAGATATGTCACTCTCTTCCTGCTAACTAGGATTTCTTCCCATTTCCCCCACTTAATTCAGTGTTGCTGCGGGTTAAATTGAGATTAATGGATAATTCCCCAAAATCCCGTGAGGGGAGTTGTCTCCCTCTCCTTCCTGAACATCCCTCTGCTATAAGCCCCTGGTAATTTAGCAAATATTGATTGATTTAACCCTCTATGACTTATCCTGCTTCAGAAATTCCTTGTCTTTAACTGAAAAATGCACTTGGAAAATGCACTCTCTGAGATATGTATTGCAACAGTGCATCTTTTCACATTAAACTCTTGAAAAAGTACTGCTCCTTTCCACCTTCTAAGGGAGGCGAGACTGTGTCCCAGATCTGCTCCCTTGGCAGAGTACATAGTGGAGAAATCAATCTCTTCTCTTTCCCATCCATGACCACAGTGTGGAGTTCAGCCACTTTCCGTGCAGGAAACATCATTTTGGGTTTCATTTTGGCTAAAGATATCAACCCTCTACAGAAAATATTTAAATTTTGCAATCCTACTGTTATAATAGATAATTTTTTGTCACCTCTTTGCTTTGTTTCATTCAAGTTTCACTCTGAAAAATTATTAGAAAGGATTTAGAAACCTTTTTTTTTCTTTTGTAATAAAAGTCTCTCCTCCACCCTGAGGGAACACACTGCTTATTTAATGTACTTTCCCCCCCTCAACACTATTAATTTCCTCTTTTCTTTTCTTCTCTTTTCTTCTCTTTTTTTCTTTCCTTTTTTTTCCTTTTCTTTCCCTTTTTATCTTCTTTTTTTTTTCTCCTTTATCTTCTAGAGCAGACAGGTACAGGAAGGAAGTTGACTTTCATCAGCAGTCCTTTGAGATAGAGTAGAATTCAGTGAGTCCTCACCATGATAGGATCATAAACTTACTGGGTTAAACCAAGCTAACTTTCCCTAAGCTGCCAAGTTTTAGCTGCACCATACATATATGTGTTTCCTTGTGCCATTCTCTTTTCTTACAATTTTATTTTTCTGGATAACCCTGAGCTATGGCTTCTGTCTTGTTTCTACCACTAGTCAACCTTCCTTTCTTTTCTGGTTTTGCCGATATAGGCCTCAAAGAAAAAATGGCAGAAGAGCACAAAGTAGCTGAGGTACATGAGAGAGGACCAGATGATGTTCTGCACGTGGGAATGGCACTGGCCCTGCTGCATCCAGGAGAAGACAAGGTAATTGATCACGCAACCGATCAACATCTGAGTGATCTGCGACAAGGTGATGAACATGGCAAACTTGCGTGAGACTCTGAAGCCAGCAGCCCGCAAGGCATAGTAAGAGTACATAACGGCGTGTACTCCATAGTTCATGGTCATGAACCAGCCACCGCCAGCCACCATGTCCTTGTAGGAATACCAAGAATAAAGTAACACAGTAATGTGGTGGTACCAGTGTAAGAAGATGAGCTTCTGTTTCCTAAGAATAATGAATATTGTATCACCTGTAACAAAACAAAACAAAACAAAACAAAAAAGGAGGGGAGGAAATGAGGAAAATATCAAACAATTCTGCAATTACAGTAACGTTCTCTTCCCTTTGCTGTTACTGGAGTATACACTATTTTGGAGCATGAAAAACCACCTCAGCTCTAGATCTGACAGCCTGTCTGATCCAAGAGCCATCTTGGCTCCTAATCTCTATGGAATCTTTGGAAAACCAACATATCCACATTCTCCTGAGTGGACAACCTGTGTTTTTAGTTAAATTGGTAGCCCTCTACTACAAACATAAGCCATGAAAGTCTGAGATGAGGTAGGTGGATGTACGTATATCATCTCTGACTGTGAGACTGTCCATTATCTACCGTGACTAGAAGAAAAATACAGGTAGACAGAAAGCAGAAAACCGAAGAGGATGCAGCACAATCTCCTCTGATTCAAATGCCTACCTGCAAACTGAACCTAGTCAAGCTCTGTAAAGCCTTTTGAGTTACTATGCAAAAAGTTATTGCATAGGCAACCTGCAATATTGAAAGATACATAATTGCCAGAAAAAAAACACTTCTAGAAAGAGATTTAGTTTAGGCTGAAATGCACATCCTCTTCTGCAAATTCATGTTGTTATTTTAGAAAGTAAATTTTATTTCTCTTTCCTGCTTTTTTCTTCCTTCTGCTTCTCATGATTGCACTGAGCATCTAAATTAGATGTATGTATATACATATGCTACTTGTTTTCTATTATAGACACAGTGTTTCCAAAAAGATCCCGGTGATTTGAATCTGAGGACTTATTTCTAAGTATATGTATCCCAGGGAATCCAAATAATGAATACTAGTGATGGGTGGAACCAAAACTGCACTGTCCGCACTAGGTCTGTAATAAGCCATAATACTACTGTTTACTTCATTAGCTGCAAGATGTTGACTCACATTTTAATAAGTAATCATATGCTCATTTTACTGCTGCTGTGCAGTTCTAGCTGACATTTTCAGTTTTAACGACTAAATTTCCATGGTTTTGCAGTAAATTAAGCAGCAGGAAACCAAGGGATTCTGACACAGCCAGGCAACTGGTGTCTGTCTCTCTAGTTTTTAAACTGATCACAGAATCACAGGATACCAGGTTGAAAGGGACCTCAAGGATCATCTGGTCCAGCCTTTCTTGACAAAAGCACAGTCTACACAAAATGGCTCAGCACCCTGTCCACCTGAGCCTTAAAGCATCCAGTGTTGGGGAACCCATCAAGGATCCTCCCAGGTGAGATTATTCCAATGGCTGATTGTTCTCATTGGGAAAAATTTTCCTCTTGTATCCAATTGAAATCACTCCAGAAGTAACTTGTACCCGTTAGCCCTCATCTTTTCCATGTGACTCCTTGTACAAAGGGATGAATTGCCATCCTGTAATTTGCTGAATGAACTTCTCTGCTGAAAGGTAAAGACTTGTTTCTGCTGTACATCTGAACACAGTGAGTGCTGCAGCCCTTTGGGGTTTAGTATGGGCGTCCTCCAAAATGAAAGCTGCAGGGCTGCTAAATTGCTTCCTCCTCCTTCCCATTAAAAGAATTCCTTCTTACACTAATAAGCCATGGGACGAGAACACATGCAGACTGGCTACTAAGTTGGCTTTGGCATGTATATTGTACGCATCCTAATAAAAAAATTGCTGAAGAGACTGGAGTTTATATGAATCAGGACTGGCAAAGCTGGGGATATTATGGGAAATTGGTTTCTATTTGAAGGAAGCAGACAGCCACAGCCTTCAATGTTTAGGGAGGAAGCACGTTACTGTTCATAATTGTATGCCTAGGTGTGTATGTAAGGAGGAATCCTGCAGAATGGAGGCAGGACCTGACTCAAAGCTTCTTGCTGACACGGTTGCTGTAGACCCTTCTCTTCTGTACACACAGGGTGAGTGACTGCCGATTACACTACTCGTATTTGCCTATGAGTAGCTAAGGAAGAGGTATGGACCAGATTGCTCTTGCCTCTTGACTTCCCTGCTGTGTATAATCACTGCAGCTTATTCCTGGGCTGAGAATGGTTGTATTCAACTGCATATTGCTCTAAGTTCAGACTTAATCTCTAGAGACTAAAATATGCAGAGTTTGGGGTTGGTTTTTTCAACTCAGTTTTTCTAAGATTAAAATCAGGTTTTCACAGCACTGATACCCTTCTTGTGCTTCCTGCACTGCGATTTCTGCTCTAAATATGCACAGTGAGAGAAAGTGAAAGAGGGTACTCACCTAATTCGGGTGCTTTGCTTAGCACAAACGCATATGCCCAGAATTTGCTGACAGGTCCAATGTAAAAACTCTGGTCACACACTGACTGCTTCAGGCCTTTGGTCATCAAAATGTACAGCATATAAGCACCAGTTCGAACAGCACCAAATATACTTTAAAACAAAAAGAGAAAATGAAGAAAGTTGAATGGATACTCGACATCTACATGCCATCAATTCAAATCATTATGAGAAAAAAGCCATAAATGTACTGAAATAATAAGTTTGAGATAGCCTTAAAACTAGAGCAACTCTACTGGCTTCCAGGGAGCTATTCTAAACTCAGATTTGTAAACTAGACTGCAGACATATCTCCTGGTCAAAGTCTGGAATGGTAACATCAATGTTTTTTTTTTCATTATGACAGGAATGACCCTTCAGTATTCAGGAGCAATGGGAGACAAGCACATCAGTTGAAAACAACGTGCAGAGTTTTGATGCTGATGGCTGGGAGACTACAAGGAATGAGTTGATAAACAATTATCATCAACATAATCAGGATAAAATTCCTCTTCTGATTTCCTCAGAGTTTTCTCTTATCTCTCCCTGTGCTTGTTACACCCATAGGAGCTATGAGCAGAGAGAAACCCAGGTAGAGCACACAGATTTTGGTGGGGGGTCTCAGTCAAGGCTTGTGTTTTGGTCCACATGTTGACTCCATACTTCATCTCTCATTGCTAACAGAGGAACCAGACAGTTGAATTGAGGCATAAATGGCAGACTGACCCTCACCTCACCAAAGTGAGATGCAACGTAACCGTGTTCTGTAAATGAGAAACATCAAGAGATTTGCAATGGTATTAATTAGTGCAATTACAGAGGTTCAGACAACAAAAGACATCCAGCTTACGTAGGTAACAAAGGCTTGTGTCTCAGCAGTGAAGCACTGCGGAAGCAATTGCCTCACTGTTTTATGGCAAGAACATGCTTGCCCATTTTCTACCATCGTAGCTTGTTTGCCCTTCAAAAGCTGTGATGAGTAGTGGGTGAAAAAAGCAGCTTCCAGAAAAATGGACTACAGAAAGGCCCAAGCTCCTTTGGAGTTGAGTATATCTTACTTTATGCCTACACCATATGTCCCTGTGCCTCTATTAGTACTCCTGTCCTACTCAAGAATCCTCTGGTTCCTGCTCTGCCTTGGTGTCATTTGTGGCTAATACATGGTAGCAAGCACACCAAGCCATCTAAAATTGTTGTGTGGACACATGTGGGCAACGCAAGCTACCATTTATGCAACATATGTGAACTAAGGACCAGTTCATCTGAAGCTGTAGATTCTCTGTTACTTGTCCTTGTTTTGTGAAGACAGCATTATTTTTAAAAGGTGGTTTTAAAAGCATCAAGGCAGCCTCAAAAGTTGAGGTCTATGGCAGTTCTCATGGCACTTGGTCAGATTATGGTGGTTCAAGTAAGCCTGCCAAGTATAAAAACCGATCTAAGTTTTTATAATTTTTGCACAAAGTATTTAAATTTCCAAATCTGCTTCATTGACATACCCAGTCAAACCTGCTTGCTGCTAAAGAGCAATGCACCTTGCTCTCCCCTAAGCACTGCATGCACTCCACAACCAAGGGGAGAACCACACTGCCTGGTGCTCTGTGGGCTCTGTCAGTGGCATCAGATGGGGCTCTACATCTGGGGAGAAATGTCCTGGCTCCTGCACCATTACATTTTGATGCCTGAGGTTTCACTGTGCCATCAGGAAATTCAGACAACAGTGAGCACTTAAGAAGCTCCTATGATTATCTGCTCTTTTATGGTGGCATTTGCTTAGGGGCTCTACTGTCAGATGAGTCCTCTTGTGCTATGTGCAAATGAAAAACCATCCTGCTGTGGTACAGGCGTACTGATGGAGTTTAGCCAAGCCTGGGTTTCCCATCAGCACTGCCCAAAGCAGTGCATATATTCCCAGGCTCAGGAGTCTGGGAGTCTTGCAGTCTCCCACGTTCATCCAACCCTGTGTGCAGAAGACATAGTGCAGTACTGTTAGCATCCACGCAGCCCGTAGTGCATCCTCTCCATGTAGGGCTGTTCCCTTCCAGAAATGCTCTCGTAGCATGCTTTTCTCACGTCTTTTGGGGATCGGTCCTATTAACTTGTCAGAGAGTGACAAAGACTGTAGGAGGAGTTTTGAAATGAGGTGCAACTCATTCTGTGTCTTCTCTCTGGTGTTTAACATATACTCTTTATATTTTTCTCAGGAGTTGCATTTCTCATTCCCAAGAAGACAGGAGATCCTGACAGAGATGTGATCTGATCACTTCCTGAGGCAGTGAACTCCTCAAGCTAGCCAGGGCAGGCTCCTGCTTGCCTTCTTGGTTTTGGTGGTGGCAAAACTGAGTGGAGGAAGATCAGGCAGAATATCTAATGATACACTGGTCCTCCCATAGCAAATACCTCAGTGCTGACATTAAAATGGGTGGAAACACCAAAATTTTAAATTATTAAATCAAACAGCTGCAAGCAATATGCCTTTCCTTGTACAAAAGCTGTACTGCTTTTCTAAAATATAATTTATTATTAAAGTTTTAAAACCAAAGAGAATTTTGTGCCATCAACACAAACTCAGCTGAGAAGAGTGCTTGTTTGAGCAACAGGCAAACATTGACTTAAATGTAAGTGATTGAGTACGGACACCCTGGGATTTAATCTGGACTGATAACACAGCCATAGAGTATTTGCCCTGTGGGGATTGCAGAGTTTCTCTTTGCTGTCCTTGAGATTATAACAATGTAATTCTTCCTGTCTTTCTGTTTAGCAACTATTTCAGAGCTCTCCTTAGAGTACACGCACACTCACACTCATACACAGTCACACTCACACACTTTTCTATAATTTTGCAGCATGGAGGCTTCCTCTGGTTCCCTGACTCTAGAAGAAGTGACTCCAGCTACTGCTTTATGTGGCGTGAGTCAGACTAATCTGAATTTTTTATCAGTACAAACCAAGTTCCATTTTTGCGTAATTCACAAGCGAAGGCTTTATAAATAAGGAGGATGGCAAACTGGAAGTAACTGCTTCAATTACCTAAAGAGACGTCATGAGCAGGTATCTGTTTACGAGATGTGCTGCGTGCCAAAACATCTACCTGCCAACAAGCACACGCAACCGGAGACAGAAAAAAAACCTAATGCATGCCTGCAAACGTGTCTTGGACCAAGAGAGCCAGGAATGCTTTTTTATGCCTCTGCCACTTAATCTTGTTTGTTCTGTAAGGTAAGATCAACCAACAAATTTCTATCCTGCAAAGACATGATGTGCAGCAGAGTGATGACATTGCTTGCTCAGTAAATCACTTCTGCTTCATTTTGTCCTCGCCCTGCTCCCTGCTGTAGCTTTTGTGAGGTACTGAAATGAACCGCTTAGCAAAGCAGTCTGTCTGGTGGGAATCATATGCAGGGATTTTAGAAATAAGGTAGCAGTGAATTATTGTACAATTACAGCCTTTTGCAACTAGAGAGACTCATCAGAAACAAACTGCACTGGCTAATGCAGCTTTCTCATCTGTTCAGTCTCAAAATGTCCTGCATTCCCCTTCCTTCCAGCAGTGACTTCTCTGATAGATTAACAAACGCCCAGTTGTTACTTTACTGTCCATAACAAGATCAAAACATATCCACAAGTAAAATAAAAATTAATACTTTTCTCTCACAAACTTGTTTTCAAACAAGGGCCTCAAAACACATCCCATGCATGGGTTAGGTACAGCATTAAGAAGGAAGGAGAATGAGGGCTGGTGAGCTTGCTGATGGGAAGACAGACCAGGTGTTAGTGGCCAAAGCCTATTCCTGCTTTCTTTTCCCTCCATCCTACTCACGAGAACAGAGCTTTTGTTTCTCAAAAGTCTGAGAGGGCAGCAGGTAGCTCAACACTGGTTCAACCCCAGCTGCCGTTGTGGCAGACTCAGCTCCTCCTCGCAGCAAGGAGGACTCTGTTCATTTTTGCTAAGGCTGCTTTCTATGGAGACTCATCGCTGCACTTGGCTCCTGACGCCTCTGGACATCCCTGTCCAGGATCAACACTGCAGATTTGAGCAGGGAATGTGACTTCCACATTTAAAAAAAAAAAAAAGTTCAGCACAGAATAAAGCAACTTTTCCTAAAGGATTTTAGTGCTGTGATAATCCGGCTTGTGTCTTAAAAAAATCCTTAAACTAACCAAACACTGCAAACTGTACCTGTAGAACTATGAAAAGATAGTGCTAAGGGGCACTGATGATGCCTAAGGTGAATGTAAAATACATTAGCTGCAAGCTACATGTCAGACGTGAAGTACCTTTGCTTTCGAGAGCGTGCCATCCTGCGCACCCAGCACCAGCAGAGAGCAGCAGGGAGCCTGCAGCCAGCCAGATCCGGCTGTGCTGTTCAAAGTTAAGGGCTGGTCAGGACTTCAATTAGAGCCCTCCTTATCCAGGCACACAGGCTGTTCAACATGGCCTAAACCGCAGGCACCCAGCTGGTTTAAGCAGTCTCTGAGGTGTCAGACTGTCCTCTGCAGTGGGTGTGCTGGGCTAGTCCAGCAGCCAGCCAGCCCACCTAGCTGGAGCTCCCACGGGTTTGGCTCCAGCTCCCAGCCTGGGGCCTGGCTGGAGGAGAGAAGAAATCTGAATTCTGCCCTGATCTGCTTACATGGAGACTCACAGGAGTCCCACTGGTGAGTCTGTGCCCTGGGAGCACAGGGAGGGGGCGGAGAGCGCGTGGTCCTCCTCAGTGAAAGCCACATAGGACAGGCAGCGGTCCTGAGAGAGCACCTCACATGCAGAGTCACAGCCCTCAGACTGCAGCCTGCTCACACCATAACAGTGAGAAAATAGGGAAGCAGGTTCTTTGGTTGCTGGTTTTTTTCATTTTAGCATGCAAAGTATTTTTACAGAGGAAGCACTCTGAATTCAAAAGAAATGTTTAAAGTCAGTAGGTGAAGAATGCAGAGCTTCCTACTTGACAAATCAAACCACGTTCACCTTTCTGTTCTGTTCAGGAGTATTTCAGTGGTCATATCAAGTTTCCATTCTGCTGCTGAAGAGCTGGTCTCTTCACGCAATGAAACTGTCTTTCTGTGCCCTTCTGATTTAAAACCCATGGTCCTCAGAAAAGAGGAACAAGTTGTGCTGATGA